TATTATTATAAGTAGTATTATTATCAGTATTATTATTATTATGCTGAAGGCGTATTTCGTAATTAAATTCGTTAACTAGTAATAATCAAATGAAGGAGAAACTCATGTAAACTTATTTTAAATAAATGCCAATAATTAAGAGAAAATAAAACATTAATGTAATATTAAGTTCAAGCACATTATTTGAGTGTTTGAAAAAGTTTAATTTAAAAAAAAGTACATAATGTGATTTTCTTATGTTTTAGATTTTAGTTTAGTTGAAATGAAAATGAATTTAACTAAACTGTCATAAATGATCAGATATTTTTAGTTCAGTTTATTTTTGGTTCTTTATAGAGAAATGGAGCGAGGGCCTTTGAAGTGTAAATGCCCCCCCTGAGGATGATGATGATGATGATGATGTCGGGCTCCTGGTGAAGCCTGGAGGAGGAAGAGGAGGATATCGGGCCATAAACGGACCATGTGACTAGAGCCGTTTATACCTGGCGCAGCCGCAGCGCGCGCAGACTCGCAGGGCGGCCGGCAGGCAGCAGGTGGAGGCGCGCGCAGGTCACGAACACGCGGACACAGAGCTCACCTGCAGACAGGTGAGCGGCAGCAGGCAGGCTGGAGCCGCAGTATGCTGAGGGAGAGCCCTCACCTGGGAAGATGTACGTCAGTTACCTGCAGCTGGACAAGGAGCCCACCATGTACCCACACCAGAACCCGGTGAGCCGCCACCCGGGGCTCAGCCTCAGCCCCCAGAACTTCCCGGTACCAGGCCCGCCGCAGTACCCGGACTTCCCCGGGTACCACCACCACCACCACCACGGCTTGAGCGCCGAGCCGCAGCAGGCCGGGCCGGGCGCCGGCGGATGGAGCCCGGTTTACCCGCCGCCGCCGGCCCGGGAGGACTGGACCGCGCACCAGTACGCCGCCGCCGTGGGCGCTCCAACTGCGGGCGCCGGGCCCGCGCTGAGTTTCCAGGAGTTCCCCGGTCAGTCGGCCGCGCTGCTGCCCGCCGCCCTCAACCCGTCCGCGGGGCAGCTGTCCCCCGGGTCCCCCAGAAGGAGGAACCCGTACGACTGGATCCGAACCTCCGCGCCGCCCAGCAACCCAAGTAAGAACCGGAACCAAAATTAGCAACTGGGCCGGCAGACGGTACCGATGCTGCAGAAATTAAACATTATAAAACTTTAAGTTAATCGGTTTATTCTTAGTTAAACGTGGAAAATGTTACGTTCTTGGTGGTTCGATTCGGCGCAGTTTGGACCGGGAGTCCCGCCGCTCCCAGCAGAGAACTGTTGGACATTTTAATATGAGGCTGATATGAAAACAGAGACGATACGAGTCAGCTTCAACAGCTGCATAACTCTGGCAGGAAATATAACTAACTAACTAACAATTATTATTATTATTATTATTATTATTATTATTATTATTATTATTATTATTATTATTATTATTATAAAAGCCTTTCTCTAACGGAACCGAAACATTTCACTCCGAATAATCCAGAATAAATCCTAACTATCTATCGGTGTGAGTTCTGCGGGAGGGGGTGGAGCCGCGGGTTCGGGCCGCGGTCCGTCCGATTCGGTTCGGAGCTGTCATGAAACCGCTTCATGAATTGAAATGTTACGGTTCGGGCCGACACACCTGAGACTGTTGATGAGGAGATGATGAAGGCGGGACTCAGTCAGAGTTGGAAGTGGACCAGAACCAGAACCAGAACCAGAACCTGGAGTTAGGTGCCTGTTTCTTCAATTCTGGAACTAAAATGAGAAAACCGAACCATCAGAACCGACTCACCGTCCTGTTTAATACCTCGACCTGCGATTCTGTACTTGGAACAGAACCGAACAGAAGTTACTGCTCCTGTTCTGACCCAAATAGAAACCCAAATCTGGTTCTGAGTTTGGAGGGAAAACCTTCAACCGGTTTTGATCCGGATCAGTCCCGGGTTCCGTCGGGTTGACGGAAATCGATTCTCCATCAGAAATATTTAATATTCCGGAAATTTGGCTCAAAACTCATAAAAACCTGATTTGATCGACAGAATAATACTGAGGAACTGGGCTGTTGCCATGGTTACAGTAGCCAAAACCCGGAACCACCTCCTCTCTACTGGACCATTAAAACCCGATCCTTTCCTGGCAGTAGAACCCAGTAGAACCAGAACGTCTGGACCTTTCAGAACAATCCAGAACCTTTTAACTTCAGATTCTTTTTCTGTTGATTTAAATAAATAAAATAAGGTCACTTTATTTATTTATTTATTTATTTATTTATTTATTTATTTATTTATTTATTTATTTATTTAAATTATAAAATTTTCTTTTTCATGTTTCTTTGCTTCATTCTGATTGGCTGAGATGAACAGAACCACCCCGCGGTTCTGGACCTGTACTGGGTCAGAACCAGGCTCAGCTCCAGTATGGTGGAGGCAGTGTGCTGCTGTGGGCCGTTGGTCAGGAGAGACGGTGACTTGAGAGGTCAAAGCACCAGAACTGTCAGAATCTGCAGTGGACCTTCAAACGGGTCTGAAGAACATCCAGTTCTGGAAATGACCGGGTCGGTTCTGATCGGATCGGTTCTGATCGGATCGGGCTGGTGTCGGTTCTGATCTCCAGGTCAAAGCTCTGCTTGGTTTCTGTGGCCCATGTTTGATCGGGTCGATTCTGATCGGATGGGGCCGGTGTCGGTTCTGACAGATGTTCCTTTGGTTCTGAAATGCTGGACCACTAACGAACCGGACCAGACCATTGGTCTGGGTTCTGGTTGATGTTGTTGATAACAGGTCCGGTTATCAGGCTCTGACAGACAGAACCGGACCGGGTCGGGTCGGCACCAGCTGCTCCCTCCTGTTTCCTCAGACTGGTTCTGTCTTCTGGATCCAAACCTGTCCGACTGGTCCGCGGTGCAGCCTGAAGGATGGCCCCTCAGACCCGACTCTTCAAAACCGTTAAACCCTGCTGAGCCACCTCTGACTTACTGCAAAGGTTCTGTCTGGACTCTGGTTCTGATCCGACTCTCTGGTCAGAAGGACTTCCTGTTCCAGGCTCATCGGGTTAGAACCGGTCCTGATGGACGCTCCACCATCTGGACCAGAAGATCTGTGAACAGAACCAACTGGATCAGAACCAGCTAGAGAACACCAGCGGTACCTGGTTGTGTTTTATGGACCGGTTTGGTCCGGTTTGACGGTCCAACCCGGTTTGTTGGTTCGGTCCGGTGAAGTTATGAGACGAGACGATCAGTTTCCAATTTGCTGATTGGCTGCAGGTCCCATAAGCCCCGCCCCCAGCCGCTTCTTTTCTTTGATCCAAACAGAAACAATTAATTAATTGAATTAATTGATGATTGAAATAATTACCAACTAATTTAGTGAATGACTAATTGTTGACTAATCATCTAAAATGGCCGCATCTGGGATATCTACAGTGATGCAGCTGGTAGTCAGCTGGTGACTCCCTGACAATAACTCTGACCTCCATCTTCGGCTCGAGGTGCATTGTGGGTGATGTAGGCAGCAGCCATGTGAACCCTGAGGCCATAAACGAGTGATAAACTGAGTGGATGAAGGCGTCTGACTGCAGCAGGGAGAACCGCTCTGCCTCAGGCATCCTGCAAAAACTCACATTTTACATAGTGACAGCCAGCGTGATTAACAGCTGCAGCTGAGAGGAAGAAATCCTGCAGCAGAACCGGGTCACTGTTGGTCAGAACCAGGTCACTGCTGGTCAAAATGATCGCTGTACGACCAACTGATTATTTACATATCAATCCAACAGAAAGTGATGTCATTAAAAACTGTTATAATTATAAGCACTGTGAAGCATCTGATATTCACAAGGAATGGATGGATGGATGGATGGATGGATGGATGGATGGATGATGGTCGGTCATGTGACCTGTCAGGATCTCCTCCTCTGGATCCTCAGCCTCTCTTCTCTTTGTGTTCCAGACGGGAAAACTCGGACCAAGGATAAATACCGGGTGGTGTACACCGACCACCAGCGGCTGGAGCTGGAGAAGGAATTCCACTACAGCAAGTACATCACCATCCGGAGGAAGGCGGAGCTGGCCACAGCGCTCAGCCTATCAGAGAGACAGGTATGCTCCGCTCCGATCCGATCTGATCTGCTCCGATCTGATCATCAGGAAGAACTTCCACAGTTTCCTGGTTGAGGCTCTGTGGTAGATTTCTCTGTTTTTAACCGATTTGAAGTAATGTAAAAGTTTGTCGTGCATCTTTAAGTAAATCATCTTTGAAACTCAAACCGACCGGCCGCGTTCTGCAGAACCAACTTTCTGAACCGTTTCCAGGTGAAGATCTGGTTCCAGAACCGCCGAGCGAAGGAGAGGAAGATCAACAAGAAGAAGCTGCAGCAGCCGGCCTCCTCCACCACCACGCCCACCCCACCAACCTGCAGCACTGGAGGGGGTGCGCTCAGCAGCAGCAGCAGTGTCGCCATGGTTACCAGCAGCAGCGGCAGCAACGGGCTGGTGTCTCCGTCTTCTCTGACTCTGAACATCAAGGAGGAGTACTGAGGGGTAAAACCACAGAAGAAGTTGTCCTTCCACCAAACTTTCTCTGGCTGTTTGATCCAGAATGGCTGGAAGAACTCTGATTGGTCCAGAACTCGGCTCCTCTGGTGGTTGGACCAATCAGCTCCAGACTCGGGGTTCAAATGTCACAGAGCTTCAGGAATAACTGCTCTGGTTTCTGATTGGCTGACAGGAGGTCAGGTGAACCCTGAGCTCCTCCTGGGTTCTGGTAGAGCTGCTGGACCCGACCCGCTCTGTACAGAATCTGAGACCTTCAGCCAACAGCAGAGATTGCTGTCACCTCTGACCTTCATCTGGACCTGCTGACTCATCGTTACGTTTTTTTACCCTCAGACGGTTCAACAGCTGATGGTAAAACTAATGGTCAGAACCAGATGTTTCTGATGGTTCTGATCGGTTCTGATTGGTTCTGGTGGTTTTGGAAACTTCAATCAGAACCATTTTCTCATTTTTTTTTTTTTTTTTGGATTTAAAACTCGACAAGAAATAATTTAAAACTGTATTAAAATGAAAAACTTTTTATTGGACATTTTACTAAAACAGAAATAATTGCTTTTAAAGGTTGTTTTATTTTATAATGTTATTGTATAACAGTTAATCATTTGGACTCATGTGATCATCAGAACCAAAACATTTTGAATTTTATACATTTGTATAAAGAATTTGTCAGATTTATTTATCAGCATGTTTACCAGTCAGTCGTCTCAGAAATACTAAACATCAATAATAATATCAATAATAACTCGATCAATCTGGGAGCAGCTGGACGTGTTTCTGAGGTTTGAGGAGAATATTTTTATTTTAAAGTTTTAATCCTGAGGATCATCATTTTGTCTGAAAACATCATAAAAGGTCTAAACTTTTATTAAACGCGTCCAGATTAAAGTCAAATGTTTATTTATGTATTTTCTTCTTCAATCGATTTTATTTTCAGAATTTAGAGACAAAGAAAGAACTAGAAACAAATTTTATGTTTATTTAGAAAAGAATGGAAACATAACAATAACTTGAATATTTATTTAATCCTTAATAAAACGTCTGAAGGAAAGTTGATGCAATCTGCATAAATATTATGACATCAGACGTCCTGAAAATAATTAAGCTGTTTAAAAAAAAGTAAAAAAATCCACAGATTTAAAAGAAAAAACTGTTTAAATATTAAAACATGATTAGAAAACAAAGAGTCAGTTAAAGTAAACGTAACTCCCATCAGGGTACCAGTAACTGGTAACCGGTGTTCCACTCCAGTCTGTGAAAACATTAATCATTAATAATTAAACTTCCTGTTTCTGCCGGACCAATCAAAGCCTCTCCTACCGTTGTTTCCATGGTAACAGCGTTGTCAGAGAAGTTCTTGAGGGAGAATCTGGACCAGAACTTTAATTGGTCTGGTCCATCGATCCAGTAAAACTCTTAAACCGGGAGGGAAAAACTTTCCAACTCAAAGTTTCAACATTCAGAAGCTGAAATGTTTGGAATCAGAACTCCAGATCTTGACCCACTTGGTGGTTCTGATCTGGTTCATGTTCTGGTCCAGTTCTGTAGGAGCTGGGTTCTACAGAAGTTCCTGCTGATGTTTGTTTTTGCTCTGATTTCCTGTAAATGTTGGTGATTTTAGAATTCATCATTTGTACATTTTAAATGTCGTTTTTATTAAAAACTAAAGGTTTTATTGTAAAAGTTTGTGTTCGTATTTTTGCTCTGCTGTCCTGGACTCCTGGGTCCAGAACCCAGACCCTAGACCCAGAACCAGACCCAGTCAGGATGTTCTGGTCGAGTAAACGTCCCGTTCCTGCTGATTGGCTCGGCCTCGACGTGCAAAGATCAAATGTTTCAGGAATCAGAATTTAAACCAGACAGAACCATCAGACATGTTGGTGGAACCACTGAACTGGGCCTGATCGGACCTGGAGCATCGATTGTCTGTTTTTAATAAGCTGTTCTGGAGTTCTGCTCAAACAGAACCGTGTTTGCTGAGCGGCGCATCGGTTGAGGTGTGGCGTCCAAAGGGCAAACACAGGATCTGCTATCTGTCCACACTGAGACCTTTGTCCTCCAACAACAGCCCTATCTGACGCTGATACACACTATCTGTCCCGGGCGTGTGTGTGTGCGTGTGTGTGTGTGTGGCAGCTAACCATGGAGGCTGGCGTCTTGAACTTGAGACCTTCGTTCTGTCACCAAATGAAACAGATCTTCAGGAATCATTTGTCTTGAAACTCTTAGAAATCAATGGTTTTAAAAATGCTTTAAATTTAAACAGACTCGAGCCGTCAGCCCTGAGGAACTCCTGAACTGATCCGTTTCTGTTTCTGAATCAAACATCTTTAAAGCTTAAATCATAAATCACCCTGTCATGAAGTGAAGCTGATTATGACCAGGTATCTCCTGGCCTTGGCTCTCCATTGCCGTGGCAACGGAGCTGCCTTCAGGTTTATCAGGTCAGTTGTTCCAAGGCTGCAGACGCTCCAGCAGCTCAGGATGTATCAGAACCTCATTACGGTTCTGAACCATATTCAGAACCGCTGAGAGAAAATCAAATATTTTATTTTAATATTTTTAAATCAGATCCATTCGTTCATACGCTAGATTATTGAATCCAATCGATTGATTTTTAACTTTATGAATTAAAGTGAAATATTTTTATTTTTGTGACCTGATAAAATCAGTCGTTCCTATTTATAGTCATAAACACCTTAGCCTGGAAACCCTTATCGTCTATATAATTCATTAACATCTGTAACATCTGCAGCTGACGTCATGAAGCGCATATGTCGTCAGGTCGCATGTTTAGGCCACACCCCCTCGTTAATGTGACCTGAGTGTGAAAATGTGAGTCACTCTGAGCAGAAACAGAAATACTCTGAAAAAATGTTGGAAACCTGATTATTAGGGTCATATTTTTAGTTAAAAATTGTTTTAAAATATTTTTCCAGGATTAAAGGTGAAAATTTAACAAACTTAAACCAGGTAATTTTCTGATACTATTGACAGGAAATCTGTGATGGAAAGTTAAACCGTCGGGATCTGTTAGAATATCTAGGTCGAAATGGGTCAGAACAAGTTGGATTAGGAGGTCCCTGAAGGTCACCACAAGATAAATTTGAAGTACATCTGGTCGGTTCTGATACATCAAGTACATCACAGGTCCAGAGGATGTTCTTCTCAGTGTTTCACTCTGAATTTTATCGCATCTTATTCCAACCAAAGGATCCACTAGAGCCGGCCCAGTGGTACCAGAAGGATTGAAGGTTCTGATGGGTCGGACCAGCTGCTGGTCTTTAATGGAGCCAGAATGTTTTAATTCTGTCAGCGGTTCTGTTCCGTCTGATTCTGGTCCATTTTGGATGTGATTCTGGTTCTGGTCCATTCTGGATCTGGTTCTGATCCATTCTGGATGTTGGGGTTAGCCCAACCCCCTAACCTTGTCTCCTGATAGAATTGGTTCAGAGAAAGCCCTGTTCTGTTGGTTTTCTGAGCTCCACTCTGCTTCCTGGGAGCTGAGCTACCAGGAGGGCCTGATCAGCCAGTCACATGTAGAGCTGCATCAGCAGCAGCCAATCAGAGACTAAGTAAGGAGTGATGATGATGTTTGAGTAAAATGAAGCAAAATGATCAAAATCATGATAGAAAGTCCAGTTGAGCTGCAGGAGGTTCTGGAAGAGAAAAACATGATCCAGATATTAAAAAAATAAATTCAACATTTAATGGAGAAATTCTGTAGTTATTCTGGAAAACATCAAAGAATTAAATTCAGTTTATTCATGAAAGAAACCGAGCTGCAGATTGAACATCTAACTGGATTAAACCTGTTAGAGGTCTGTTTATATGTACTGATAGAAACAGAGGACCTGATCTGGATCAGATATGGATCCTTTTAACCTGATCAGATCCAGTCTTCCCAGTCAGAGGAATCCAGAGTATCTGGGTGGATCCTCTGCAGCAGCTGCTGCTCTTCGCCTCATTTTTGGGCAAACAGACGTAATGAGAGCGAAGCCATAAAGTTTATTATGGGATGGACGCAGTAAAGATGGCTTCTCCTCAGAGACACAGAAATGTTGGAGGAGGGCGGAGCTGCAGATCTCTGAGGGGGAAACGTCCCAAACAGAATAAAAAGTTAATCCTGAAGTGATCTGGAAGCTGATTCTTCCTCTGATTTTCATATTTTTGACATTTTCTAATATTAATTTTCCTTAATTTGAGTCAGAGACATTAAAATGTCTGGATGTGATGGAGACGTTGTCTTAAACATCCGATTGCTATAGAAGCTCAGATAATCTGCAGGTTTTCTCTGATCGGTCAGAACCTTTAACCCGCCTAATGCCCCGCCCATTCCACCCAGTTTCCATGCCGACAGATTATTGGACAAATGATCAGGTCCAACCAGGTTCTGGTCCCTATTGGACCATCAGAGACTGGATCATCATGGGAGGACAGAGCAAACAAGAGGTCCACATGGTGGAGGTGGTATCATGCTGCAGGCTTCCCTTGCTGCCAGCAGCCATGTTGGATCAGATCAAACATAGCTGGATGGAGAACCAGTAAAATCAGTCCCATCTGCCTCTAACTGGGTAGCGTCTCGTTCAGTCCAGGTTGGTGTGTCTCCTCTGGCAGAGTGTTCCTCTCTGGGCAGGAAGTGGGCGGAGCCACACTCACTCACAGGAGCCGTGGCAACACTCTGATGATGTCATTCAGCTTATCTACCACTGGCGGCGATCGCCGCCCAGTGTGTCAGGTCACTGCAGGTCGCTCCATCCGGCTTGTGAAACAGTTTGGACCTGAAGGTTAGACCACAGAATCATCGATTTACTGCTAGCTAACAGCTAACTAGCTAACTGCTATGGCCTCATCACGGATAAATCATTGGCCAATCAATGAATGTTGTCTGCTGCCACCCGGCTAGGTCTGGCTGGAACCACCAGAACCATGCAGGATCAGTTCTGACCTGGTTTCATCCTGAGGTGGAGGCGGGCTCACAGGCCAACAACCAATCAAAATGCTTCAAACTCCTGCGTTAGTTTGACAGTTAATCTGCTGAAAACCAGTAGAACACAGAGGCAGAACTAGAACCAGCTGGTTCTGTTGGTCCCAGAAGGACCCGACCCACATGGAGTTGATGCTCTGGACCATCTCCAGAACTCCAGCCCGGTTCTGGATCCATCACATTTCTGCTGTTTGGAAAGTACTGGTTCTAGTTCAAAGCCCTGTTTTGGGTTGTGAATTGAGTAAACTGGTAATCGGACCCGCTGGTTCTGCTTCTCCAAGTCTGCAGCCTGACTGTGGGACTCAAGCAGAACCAGCAGGTTTACGACCCAGTCCGGTGGGGAGCTGATCTCTGTTAATGAGGAACAACATCCTGGCCTCTTATCTGGGGTCAAAGTTCATCCGGCAGCAGCAGGAGGCCGACCAGGAAGTGGCGCCATCCGAGAAACGCTGCTCTGCAGCTCCGTGTTCACCTCCAACTCGATTCTGGAACGTTCTTCCTGGTTTTGCTGGTCTCAAGGTCCAGGTGGGTCGGGTAGGTTCAGCTGGGCCCAGCTGGGCTCCAGTGGGGAAGGTCCGGTATCAGTCAGCCTCAGTGACTGAGGCCGACTGAGCCGGCCATTTTAGAACACATTTCTGCTCCTCCAAACAAAATGGCTGCTAGCCGCAGGCCGGCTGTCGGACCGGACCGGTCCTCGGACCTCCGAACTGCAGCAGAGCCATCACCTCTGTTCTGCTCCCGCTGCTCCATAAACAATGATTAGAGCAAATAAAAGAGCGTAAGTAAGTGCACCCCTCACAGCCCATAAACTACCAGGCTTATATAGCCGCCTGTTTATGGGTCATTTTCCCATAAACTTTCATTTACAATATGCTAACTGGCCCTAATACGGCTATTGGCGCTGATGGAGGATCAACACAGAGCCGTAAAGCAGCGGTAGTAAAGGCCTGATTAGCCCAGATTAGCATCCCTCCCACCGGCGGCAGACTACTGGTATTCCCCGCTAAACAAACCGGAGGACGGCGGCTTCCTCAGCTCACACCAGCTGGACCTGTGCTCCCAGTTGATTCACAGTTCTCCACCAGGTACTGAGTGCTCCTGTACCAGAACCGTCCCAGTACCGGCCTTGGTATGACCCGTCGGCTCACCGCTATCAGCTCAGGTATTCCAGGTAACTCCGGATCCTCTGTAGGTTTTATCAGATTCCCATCTTTAAACTCCGATTTATTCAATCTCTCTTTACTTTTATTCATGGTTTTATTTTAATCTTAGAAAATATTAAATGAGCAAATATTTAATTTGATTATTTAACAATATCAAAGTTGAAATTATTAAAGCGTTTATGTTAAAAAATAAATATTTCATATTTAGTTATTTTATTTATTTAAAAAATATATTTTGTGTTTCATTATTATAACATTTTTCTGTGATGAAATTTATATAAAAAATAAATTCTTTAAACATGGAAGTTCAGGTTTTCTTTAAACTATACTGATGAGAGTAGTAATAACATTAATAATAATATAGAATACTATAATTGATTTCTAAAAATAATGTAATTATTATTGTGTAATTGTATTTATTGATCAGAAAACAATCTGAAATGTGACAAAGAAAAACAAAATTGATTCAAGTTAAAAATTAGAAAGACGTTAAATGTTTAATAATGAATGCAGAATATATTTCAAATAAAACCTTAGAATAAAGCAATTATTTTAAGTTTTTGAATAACTGTTAAATTAATTTAGAATTAATTAATTTGTAATTAATTGATTTATCAGTTTGAACTGTTAATGTTGCATTTCTTAATTTTAGAAAATAGGTTCTAGATAGTTTTGAACATTCAACATGTCAACGAATTATTAACATTCACTGGCCTCAAACCAAACTGGGACTGATTTAACTTTTATTGGTATTGATTTTTTTTAGTATTGATTTTATTGGTTTAACTGTGTTGTTTTATTATGTTATGAATTGAGTTTTTAGTTCATTATTGTGTGCTTACTTTGGTCACTTTATTTTTATGCTTTTATGTTATGACTGTAAAACTGCTTTATAAATGAAGTTATTGATGATGATGATGATGATTGTAAACTTTACTGTTAAAATTTTATTTTCTTAAATTTAATAAAACACAATTTTGTAATGCGTTTTATTGTTTTTAATTTAATATTTTCATTTAGTGTTAGTGTAATTGTTCTTTTAATGTCACAAATATATTAAATTGGTAAAAATGCGTTACAGTAAATAACATTTTATTAATATCTGATTAATTTCTTTTTTCATTTTGATTAAATTAAAAATAATTTAAAGATCAGAACTGATGAGTTTAATAAGGTGGTATGGGTCAGAACCAGAACTGGAAAGGTTCTGTATGCTTTAGCTGCTGAGGGAGGAAGAGGAAGTTGAGTTGATGAGAGGAAGATCAGCCAGGAGAAACCGTAAAGCAGGGAGGAAACCAGAGCTGGTCCGGTTCTGGTCCAGTTGTGATCTGGCTCTGGTATGGTTCCGGTCCAGTCTGGTTACTGATGAGTTTCTACACATGGAACAGAACCAACACCAACCCAGATGAGATCTAATCAAAGTTAAACCAATTAACCTTAACGAGTTGTGATGGTTTGGCAGGAGGACCCGGTCTGTGGATCAGAACCAAGATGTGGGCCCATTTTGACTGGTCGGGCTCTGATCCTGATTTGATACCAGTTTGGGTCCAACATGTGGAGCTGTTAGAGCTGGTTCTACCATCCAGAACCAAGACCTAATAGGTTCTCTGGTTCTGGTTCACCTCTCTAACCTGGACTCAGTCAGAACCATCTGCTAGACCTGAAGGTTCTGAAGGTTCAGTTCTGTCAGCTTGATGTTTCTCACCTGTAGAGCTGAGTACCTGCTCTCCGTGAGGCTCCGCCCCCTTCCCCGATATGACTCACCCCTGTATGTCACGTGGCCGCGCCCCTGTCACTGAGGCTCCGCCCCCTTCCAATCTCCCCCTCGTTAACCTTCGTCCCTGTGATAATGTCTGAGGTTTCAACATTCCATATTCCTGATTTCCCTCCAGAACCTCCAGCTGTAGAACCCAGTCGCTGATCCGGACCTGAAAGGGTTGGCAGGAACTGGTCTGGGCTGAGACCTGCTTCAGATTCTGACCCGGTTCTGGAGGCTTTGGGAGGAGGCGATGCCGGGTCCCTCTGACCCGGCTTCAACAGAACCCCATCAGGGTGTGTGTGTGTGTGTGTGTGTGTGTGCGTGTGTGTGTGTTCCCGTTAAACAGTCAGTCATTAACCAGCAGCAGCTAAAGGCTTAGTGACACCTGAGTTCATCACCGGTTGCCATGGTGCTGACCTGCTGACCCCAGCGTGACCCCTACACGTCATGGCTTCACGACCCGGTGAAAAACTCCTGGACCTGCTGCCTAATGGCAGCGCTGTTATTATTATTATTATTATTATTATCCTGTGTTGTCATCACCTGGTTTCTTCTTTGTTGCAGACGAAGCAGATCAGGAAGAGGAATCATGGGAAACTGCTGGATCCCATAACTCCTCTTCAGGTCCTGGAGGACCAGTCTAATAGGAACCATCATGTCTGGGTCCAGAAAGCCTGAAGTTCTCCAGAACCTCTGTGTTAACCTGACAGCGGCTGGTTCTGATCCAGAGGAAGAGTCAGACCTCTGGATGGTGTCAGCTCAGGAAGTTCTGAAGAGGTTCTGGTGTGCCTCAGCAGCGGTTCTGTAAAGGTTCTGTGAAGGTTCTGCCGGGATTCCTCGGGTCTCTGTGGTTGACCTTCGACCTGCAGAGACTCGTTGCAGATAAGACTTGGCACGCAGCTCCGTTTATGATTCTCAACAGGTTTCCTCTTGTCACAACCCAGACATGAATAATACCCTTCAGCTTATTGATTATCAGCTTATCGATTATCAGCTTATTGATTATTATTATTAATGAGGAAGGTGCTGGTTCGATGTTTTCCTTCTCTGATGATTTCTTCACTAAGATGCTGATAGGAACTGAAACATGAAGATATACTGATGTTTCCACATGTTGTTCTTTATCTTGCAGCGCCCCCTGCTGGCTCTGCGTCACTATAGCGATGCAGAGCCAGCATCACTATGTTAGTGGCATAGTCGCTCACTATGCTGGCAATCTGTTGAGTTTCTCAAAAAACTCAACACATTGAGTTCTCAAAAAACTCAATATGTTTATTCTCACTGTAACCAGATTTCCTATTAAAATATTAATGACTGTTGTGCAGATTTTGACACATTTTATATGTTTTAAATGATTAATAAAGATGAATAGCATGCAGAAGGAGTTTATAAAATGTTAGAAATGTTTCTGATTGATAAGGAAATAAACACTACAGTTGTTAAAGTTTATGATGAGGTGAGAGAAGGAGTGAAATATTTGACAAAATAAAATAAATGTGGAAGAGATGAAGAAATCCTTAAATATCAATAACTAAACAATAGGCAAGACCACAAATTCAAAGGAGACAAATTATTGTTTTGCTTCCAATTGTTTTTGTGTGTGTGTTGTTCTTGCTCTCCGTTTATATGTTTTTTCAATATTCTTGTACATTTATATAATTCTGTTTTCTGTGTGAGAAAACAATGATTTTTGATGTTGTTTGACCATCCTGGTTCCATTCTGTTCTATTTGAGCCAGTTTAGATTATATATCGGTGCAGTTCCTCATGTAAACCTGTAGATGGAAACACTGCACTTCTGTGCCGGTGTTGTTGTGTGTAGTGTGAAGCAGCAGAAGCAGCATCCGCTAAGATGTCTGCACCGAAAACAATCCCAAAAGATGCTCAGGTAACTTCCAGACATCTATCTCAGTAAACTGTTTGGTTTGACTGAACTAAAGCAGTTTCTGTCATATTAGCTGTTGTTCTGAACTGCAGCTAAAATGAACGGAGACTCTGTTTAACTTGTTAGCTTAGCTGTTAGCCGCTAGCTTTTTAGCACCGCGCTGTTTTCTATCGTAGAAATAAAAACAAACATTTGAGTTGATTCTATTGTTATTTGTTGATTTAAGCTAAGCATAAAGCACATTTACAGAAGATGAAATTTATACTTATACATTCTATTTGTGTTTTTTGCTGAAGCTTTGAAGCTAACTGCAGAGGCTTAAAACGGAGAGGTGTTGTGGTGAATTTGGTCAACTGGTTATGATGCTCAATCAGCCGTTAATCAGTCCAGCTGGTTTACTGTTAGCTAAATGTTTAAATAATTACAATAAAACAAATATCAGTTTTAATAACAGAAGTAGATTATCATCTTTTATTATATGATGTTAAAACAGATGCTAATTAACCACGTTTATTATTATTTCAGTATTGCCTCCATAAAGTCGTCCTCTCAAAAATGAGGACGGCCATACAATGAAATGCAATAATCATTTATTTCAATGAAACATTTAGGAACTTTTGCTTCTTCATAAATCTAATTGATTGCATCTTTTCATATGTAAATGAAGTTATGAGTATCATGTCACTCATCTGGTAAAATAAATGTAGCATCATCAGAATAAACCAAAACTTGAGATTAAAATCCTACATAATTCTGATTTTATTCGTCATATTATTATTATTATGAACCTGAAAATTAATTAATTGTCATGACTGTCGGAAAGGAGCAGATTATGGCTTTAATGTAATGGTCTAATTCAATGGTCTAAGCAGCTACCAGCAGATTTAAAACACTGCCTAAAGGAGAGCTCAGAGAACTCTGGTACAGGAACATTAAAAACTTTATTTGAAATATGTTCCTGTCTGATTGATGCAGAAAGAGTTCAGAGTATTTTCCAAGCCTTGCCAGAACCATCAGACCCATCAGAACCAGGCTGGTACTGATGAATCCGCTCGGTGTTTTCCAGGTGATGATCCAGATCCTGAAGGACATGGGCGTGACGGAGTACGAGCCTCGAGTCATCAACCAGATGCTGGAGTTCACCTACAGTAAGTCACTGAAAAAGAAGGTTCAGATCAGGGGACCTCTGACCTGTTCAGGGTGCTCTCAGGTTTACCTCTAGCAGGTAAACCTGAGAGGTTTACCTCTCAGGTTTACGTATCCTGACAGACCCCTGCTGTCTTCAGGATACGTGACGACGATCATCGAAGACGCCAAGATCTACGCGTCTCATGCCAAGAAGTCTGCGGTGGACGCCGACGACATCAAGCTGGCCATCCAGTGCCGGATGGACCAGTCTTTCACCTCGCCGCCACCGCGAGACGTAAGTCCCGACCCCTGTGGCCCAGGGCCCAGTTGTGGTTCTAGTTCTGGTGACCATGCTGTGCTCTGTGTCCAGTTCCTGCTGGAGGCGGCGCGGCAGAAGAACCAGACGCCGCTGCCGCTCATCAAGCCCTACACTGGCCCGCGCCTGCCGCCCGACCGCTACTGCCTCACCGCGCCCAACTACCGCCTCAAGTCCATCCAGAAGAAGGTCTGCTCCTCTTCCTCACCCCCACCTGCCCCCACTCTGATGACCTCTGACCTCTCTCCTCTCCTCCTCTGCAGGTGTCGTCATCCGCCGGCCGGATATCGGTGCCTCGCCTTAGCGTCGGCGCTGTCTCCAGCAGACCCACTACGCCCACACTGGGTGAGTCCAGGAGAGGAATCAGTAGAACCAGTGTTGCCTGTACACAGCCTGACCTCTGACCCCTCTGTCTGGTCCTCAGGAACCCCTTCAGTCCAGTCAGTCTCCTCTAAGGTTGGAACCCCGGTGTCTCTGACGGGTCAGAGGTTCACGGTCCAAATCCCTCCGCCCTCCCAGACGGCCACCACCAAAACCAGTAAGACCTTCTCCCTCCCAGTGGGTCGAGCCCAGAGCGACCAGTTCAGGTTCCAGTCCAGGTTCTGTCCCAGGGCAGTTCCTCAGGTTCCTGAAAGGTTCCAGCTTTCTTCTTCTGTGGTATTGGTCAGACAGAGCATTGTACTGGTCCCAGTCTGAGCCTGGTTCTTGACCCAACCAGAAGCAGGCTGATGGTTTCTGTGGGAGGTGATGAGTCCTCCCAGTAAGTGACTGTTTTCCCGCCATCCGGGTCAGAACCATCAGAACTTTAGAAATATGAACATCAGGTTTGAATATTCAGGAACAGAAACATCAGAGTTCTGACGGCCATCTTGGTTCCTTCTACTTTAATGTTCAGTAGTTCACTAGCATTAGTTAGTTAGCTACATTTAGCTAATAGCTCTACTAGCACATGTTGGCTGTTGGAAGCTAATGTAACATTAGCTTCAGTTCTACCTTTGGTTCTGGTTTTGATTCCGGCTCATTGGATCCAGTCAGCCAGAGGTTGTGGGTTTGAGTTCTGATCTGAGTTCTGCTGAGAGAAAGACTCCGGCTGATGAAGTCTCCACTCAGCTGACTTTTTACCCTCTCCACACTGCCAGAACTATTTGGATCTCAGCTGAGATCAACAGGAAATGGGACCTGCTGCCTTCCTGTCACTGTATAGTCATCAGACACCAGAGGGCGCCATAAGCAAACTAAATACATTTAAGACATGTCATGAGTCAGGAACAAATCCTTCTTTTTAATTAAATAAAAATAATAAATGAAACATTCTGTATGAAGAATAAATAACTTCACATTCATAGAAAATATGAAACTAGCTTACATGCTGCTGTTAGCATGCTAATATGATCTAGTGAGCCAAAGTACAGCTGTTTGCTAGTTGTATTTCAGAGAACTTGATGCTTCCACAGACTTATTTTTCATAAAATAATAAATGTGTAATTCGTCTCCTCATGTCCTGTGTGAGTGAAAAATTTATCAGAAAGATTTCAATTACAGAATAAAATCAGAAATGGTTTCTAAACTTTCCAATAAAGCCAGAATATAACAGAAACCAGATCATTTCCATAAAGTCGTTCTGTAGTTTCCATCAGCTGACCTGTGGCAGCAGAGTAATGGCAGTTCGTCTGTGTCTCCTTAGCAACAGCGGCGTCGCCGGCTGTGTCCAATGTCCTGATCAACCCGTCTCTGATCGGCTCCAAGAACATCCTGATCACCACCAACATGGTAGCTCAGAACGCCGGCGGAGACGGTCTGAAGAGGAAACTTGAAGACGACGACGACTACGACACTTTATGACCACAGCTGGACTCAGACGTAGATGCTGGTTTCTAGAAGCTGAACCAGGACAACTTCTGCTTGCATTTTCAATAAATTAAATAAAACCTGAAACCAAACGTGAACAGATCACTTTGATAACCAGAAGTTACTGAGTTCAGATCAGAGATGATTTACTGATAACAGAGGATCATTAGGCGGTCCTGAGACTCATAAAGTTATGGATCCATAATGTATCAGAATGAACCCATCAGTAACGGTCCGATCAGTAGAACCTGGCCTATGTTAACAAATGAGTGAAGGAGAGTTGAATGTTTAACTGGAGCAGAGAAGAAGTAATCATCTCTGCTTGGTTTCATTGTCCAAATGGTATGGAAATATCAAATATCAATAAATATTGGGTATAATGGCAATAATATTTGATATCGGCCCAGATTTACATTCCCGTGTATTAGAAATGGAAATCTGAACAGATATGCAATATTTTTTACCTCTATTCTTAAAGTGTTTTTTTTTTAACTGTTTCCTGTTGGATGCTATGAGATGCTCCACTCAGAGTGGAGTTTGGGTCAGAGGGACAGAACTACAGTAAAAATGCCGGTGCTGAATTAACACCCACAGTATTAATTTTAACACCAACAAAGTGTGTATAT